ACCGGTTTGCTTTACATTACAAAGGCACCAAGATTGCAATTTATTACGGTTGACGCTCGTTTACGTTCTATAGGCAACATCAGTTATGAAGAATTCATACAATAAAAACATAAACGTACATGACAAATGCTCAATGGATAGCAGAGATAGCAACAATCATCTGAAGTTTGCTGATACAAACGTGTTGATAAGTTCAAAGTTTAATGTTATTTTTTTTATTTCCAGTTGGCTCTACACCTTTCGAAAACGTTCGAATTGCAATGTCCGTATTCAACGCAGTGGATGCTACGAGCGAACAGCCGTTGTTTAATTACTGATGGTTACATATGTCTCTTTGATGAAAACGATAATGCATTTGCAGAAATTTGCAGAAACAGGACACATATTTATCCTCCAGGTATTTAACTTTACACCAGGTTTTGACTCATCTGAATTAAAAAAAAACAGAGTCTGTTGCAAACATTCACTGTTGTGTCAAACCATGTGATTTATATAACGACGGGTGCCACAAGTGGAGAGGAATATGCTTACCCTTCCGAGAACCTGAGATCTCCCCCGGCTTTTGGTGGGGTTCGTATGGCTCAGTATTAGTTTTCTTTGTTGTGTTTTGTATACTGTTGTTTGTCTTTTAGTTGTTTTTAGTTTTATGTCCTTGTGCTGTCAGTTTGTTTTCGACATACTAGTCTTGATGTACCTTTGGTAACTTCCGCCTCTCTATTATATAAATACGAAATATAAAATATGAAATATTTGTCTGGATCCCTTATTTGATCGACAAATTATTTTAAAATGATCAAGAATTGCATGCAAGATATAAAAGGGAAGGTTCTAATTGCAATTTTATGATAATTATTGTAGTGAGAAATATATCAGGAGCACTGAAATGTAAATTCTAAACGAATTTGTATTATTTGGTCCGAGTTCAGAACGAATGTTTGGACGAGATCATTGGTTTTGTTGTGCAAAATAATCAGATTTGTGTATAGAAAGGAGTGATTTTTTAAGATTAAAATAGATATTAGTTAAAGCAGTTTTTGATAAAATGGGTTAAAAGATGGCGCTTAAATGGGTTCTGTGCTAAAACGTCCAATTTGTTTTCGCTAAAACGTAAAATCGATTCGCTATATTGCTCCAATAATTTCAACATAGACTTTTCCCAACTGTTAGTAGGAACTTTGCAGGGGAGGGCGTATGCTTTTTCGGAATGTATAAGTGCACAACCATGTCGCAATGGGAACGTAAAATCAATGCCTCGTGTTCATTTAAGATCAGCAGTGGTATGTTGAATCGTCGATGTTTAGATATGATCCCTATGACCATGTTATTACGGGGGACCTCAATATCGTCCAAGACAGAGAGGTTAAAAACTTTTTGAAAAAGGGACCAAAATATCGTCCTCCATCTAAAATAGATTAGAAACAGTGTCATCAGGTCACAAAAGACGCTCTTTCTCGTTTTGTAAAATGTTGGAAAAATCTGATAAAAAATCTCTAGATGCTTATTTAAATAAATGTGGTGGATATTCGAATATCACATTTTGAAAATAATTCAGAAACGAATAATAGATTACATAATACGCCTATTTCCAGAATTGTGTTTGTACCGGCCGACAAAGCATCCAACAATGTGGTGGTGGTATACCGTAAATACTACACGAACGTTCTTAAGAATGAAATTTTAAATTCATCTACATTCAAGTAGGGTCGTCAAGTTTGTTCCTTATTACTTATTCCGTATTCGTTACTTATTCCTTATTCCTTATTCGTTACCTATTCGTTATTTATTCCTTATTCCTTATTCGTTACCTATTCGTTACTTATTCCTTATTCCTTATTCGTTACTTATTCGATTTTAACATGTTTCCCCATTTTAATGCTTTATTTTCTTATCTCTGGTAATAGTTCTTGGTTTATCGAGGTGAAATTATCCTTTTAGCGCGTAGGTATCCTTTTTCCCCTGTTACTTATTCGCTACTTATTTGTTCCATATTCGATTTTGATACGTTGCACATTTTTACTGCTTTTTTTCGTGTCTCTGGTGTTGGTTCTTTGTTCGTAGAGGAGAAATTACCTTATTAACGCATGTGTACCCGTTTCAGCGCTCGACTATAAATAAATAATACTTTTATTCAGAAGCAATACAGCTTATAGAATATACATTTTTACATCAAATTTTTAAATGCATCAGTGTAATATTAATAACAATAATTATACAAAATACACACATGGCGGAGAATGACAATAAATTCATATGATAAATAAGGAATACAACTTCAAAATGTACGTATTACGGATTTTTTCGATGTTGAACAAAAAATTACCTAAATTATTAAGTTCTTTCACATTATGAACTGATAACAGCTGTATAAGTTTAAAAGTGGATGGTTTTTGCCAATAATATTTCTTAATATATTGTTTTCTTACATCATTATATCTATTACATTCTAAAATAAAATGGTATTCGTCTTCAACAATATTGCTATTGCACATAGTGCATAATCTTTTTTCTCTATCTACATTGTAATATTTGCCTGTCTCGACATTGAGGCTATGGGCAAAGATACGATATTTACATATATAAGGTTTATATATTTGATTTACAGGTCTATCTAAATAAAATTGCAATATACCTGTGTCATATATATATATATCTATAAAGTATAGATTTAGATGAATTGTTGAAAAACAATTAACATCAGTGATAAAGGTATCTTTCATTCGTTGTTTTAGCTCATGTATAAATATATCAACATTATTTACGCTTTGGTTTAGCCATACATCATGAAAACCATATTTACATACATTTTTTTGTAAAATATCTCTGACTGAACATGCCCAATTCAATTTGTCTTTCGGTTTTTTAAATGAACTCTCCAACATATCTTCATAAAATGCCTTTAATATACAGTTATCAGTATCTAATAGTTTAAACCAAAACTGAATCATTTTTCTTTGTCTTTCATAATACATTGGGTAACGTCCCAATTCACAGTAAACCATTTTACTAACAGCAGTTTTTCTAACATTTAGAATTCGTTTTAAAAAATACAAATGTACTTTCTCTATATCATCAGCTTTATGATTACCCCACACTTCACAGCTATAATTAAGAATACTAGATACATAAGTATCAAATAAGGACAGTAACGTTTCACAATTATAATAATCATCTACAATTTTATTGATACTTCTTCGTTCCTTATTCGCGTTTTTACGTTGCACCTTTTTAATGCTTTCTTTTGAATAATTTTTTTGGTCGGTCTCTGGTGTTTAAGGTGGAATAACCATATTAACGCATATGTACCTGTTTCTGCGATTGACTGATACCCTGTTACTTATTCGCTACGTATTCGTTCCATATTCACTTTTTAAATTTTCACCTTTTTACTGCCTTCTTTTCTTTTTATTTTCTTGTCTCTAGTGTTAGCTCTGGGATGTAAGACGTGAAATAACCATATTAGCGCGTATGTACCCGTTTTAGAGCTCGACTGATACCCTGTTACTTATTCGCTTCTTATTTGTTCCTCATTTGCTATTGTTACATTGCTCCTTTTTAATGATTTTGTCTATTTCCATTATTAGTCTGTGGTGTTAGTTGTGGGTAATTGGAGTTAAAATAACCCTGTTAGCACATATGAACCAATTCATGCGCTCGACTGATACTCTGTTACTTATTCGTTCTTGAATGGTTTTTTAAACGTTGCCCCTTTTTTGAAATTGTCTTTTTCTTTTCTTTTATTTTCGTCTCTGGTGTAAGATTTGGTTCGTGGAGGTGAACATATTCAGTTAGATCGTATGTACCCGTTTATGCGCTCGACGGATACCCTGTTTCTTATTCGCTTTTTATACGTTGGTCGTTTGATTATTATTGTTCGTGTGTGTTAGTTCTCATGGTTTGTGGAGATGAAATAATTACTTATTCGTTCCTTATTCATTTTATATACGTTGCCCCTTTTTATTTATTTGTTTTTTTTTCCATTTGATGTCTTTGGCGTTAGTCCTGGATTCGTGGTGTTGAAATAACCCAGTTAGCGCATATGTACCAGTTTTTACGCTCCGGTGATTCCCTGTAACTTATTTGTTCCTTATTTGCTTTTTAGACGTTGCCTCTTTTAAATGATTCCCTTTCTTTTGTTTTCTGTTTCTGGTGTTAGTTATTGGTTTGTTCAGGTAAAATTACCATGTTGACATGTATTTCCCCGTCTCCGCGCTTGAATGATACCCTAGGCCTGTTACTTATTTGATACCTTTTTGTTCTTTATTTGCTTTTCAAAGGTTGCCATTTTTTTAAAGCCATATGATATGTCATGCCCAAAATAAGCTTAAATAAATTCAGTCGACCTGGTTTTGTGCGAAGTACTTATATTGCTTTGCAGTTCCTGTTCTTTAACGCTTTTAAGACCACAACAGAGTGATTTAGACTCTGAACCTTGCTTGTTTCAGCTATGGAAGATAGCTGCAGCCAGTGGTGCTTAGTTCATTTTTTTGGTGGTGCTCATAAGTATGCATCATGATAGGCACCATTATAGGACTGAACATCTTAGCCTTGAAAACCGAACCACTAAGTCTGGTGGACAAATGGGCAATAGAAACCAAATAAAACCACAACAGAGTTAATTTTGACTCTGAACCTTGCCTGTTGGACCTACTGGATGATAGCTACAGCCCATGGTGCTAAGTTCATTCCTGATGGTGCTCATAAAAATGCTTCATGATAGGCAACAATATAGGACTGGACATTTTAGCCTTGTAGACCGAACCACTAAGTCTGGTGGATAAATGGGTCATATAAATCACATAACGCTACAACAGAGTGATTTAGACCCTGAACTTTGCTTGTTGGATGTATTGGAAGATTGCTGCAGCCCGTGTTTCTTAATGTGTTTTTTTTTTTTTTGTGGTGCTTATAAATATATGAGATGGGTGGTCATCTCCAACTTGAAGCCTTTACCACTAAGTCTGCTGGACCAATGGGTTGTGTTTATCAGATAAGATTCCAAACAAGTGGTTTAGACCTTGAGTCTTGCATTTTAGACCTTTTGGAAGAAAGCTGCAACCAGAGCGCTTTTTATGTGGTGTTAATAAGTGTGACATGGGTGGACATCTTCAGCTTGCAGGCTGGACCACCAATTCTGGTAGACCAATGGGTTGTGTTTATCAGATTATACCCAAAAACAAGTGTTTTAGACCCTGATGCTTGCATTTTAGACATGTTGGAAGATAGCTGCAGTCCGTGGTGCTTAATTATTTTTTTTGGTTGGTGCTTATAAATATGTGAAAAGGTGGACATCTTTAACTTACAAACTGAACCACCAAGTCTGGTGGACCAATGGGTTGTGTTTATCAGATAAGATCCCAACCAAGTGGTTTAGACCCTGAGCCTGGCAAATTAGACCTATTGGAAGATAGCTGCAGTCCATGGTGCTTTATTTCTTTTTTTTGGTGGTGCTTATTAATATATGATACGGGTGAACATTCCTACATTTGTGAAGAAATTTTATTTATTCCTCTTCTAAATGAATCTTTAACTGTATTTCTGTCAAAACTTGTATATGGAATAACTCATAAACGACTATTTTCCATAATTTTACTGATAAAAAATATTAAAATCGTTGGTGCTTATAGTGGTTCTTCTACCTAAAATTGAAGTATATTATACCTCGAGTTCAGTACAATATTGATACAGGGGATAGTAATGAACAGTACTTAGGTAAGTTTGAATCCATACCAACTCGCCCCATTGCAAAATCGCTCCAGACATACGCGCCCAAGTTATAAACAAGAGTTAAATCCCGTTTAAAGGTAGTTTTTACCTCTACGAACCCACAGCTAACACAAGAGACAAGAAAATAAAAGAAAAGAAAGCATTAAAAAGATGCAACGTATAAAAAGTGAATAAGGAACGAATAAGTAGCGAATAAGTAACAGGATATTAGCCTAGCGCTGAAACGGGTAAATACGCGCTAAAAGAGTTATTTCACTTGTAAGAACCCATAGCTAACACCAGAGACAAGAACAAAAATGAAAAGAATTTTCAAAGTTGCAACGGATAACAGACGTATTATAAGCGAATAAGGAACGAACGAATTAGTAACAGGATATCAGCTGGCGAGCGCTGAAACAGGTACATACGCGCTAATAGAGTTATTTTCCATATACAAACCCTCAGCTAACACCAGAGACAAGAAATGAAAAGTAAAAGAAAGCATTAAAATGATGCAACGTATAAAAAGTGAATAAGGAACGAATAAGTAGCGAATACGCAACAGGGTATCAGCCGAGCGCTGAAACGGGTGCATACGCGCTAATACGGTTATTTCACCTTTAAGAACCTATAGCTTACATCAGAGAGAAGAAAAGAATTGAAAAGAATTTTTTTTAAAAGGTGGAACGGATAACAAACGTAATATAAGCGAATAAAGAACGAATAAGGTAACAGGGTATCAAGCCAGCGCTGAAATGGGTACATACGCACTAATAGGGTTATTTCTAATCTACAAACCCACAGCTAACACCAGAGACAAGAAAATAAAAGAAAAGAAAGCATTAAAAAGATGCAACGTGTAAAAAGTGAATAAGGACCGAATAAGTAGCGGATAAGTAACAGGGTATCAGCCGAGCGATGAAACGGATAAATACGCGCTAAAAGAGTTATTTCAACTCTAACAACTCATAGCTGACACCAGAGACAAGAAAAATATTGTAAAGATTTTTTTCTTAAAAGCTGCAACGTATAACACAAACGTTTTAAAAGCGAATAATGAACGAATAAGTAACAGGGTATCAGCTGGCGAGCGCTGAAACGGGTACATACGCGCTAATATGGTTTTTTCCCATCTACAAACCCAAAGCTAACACTAGAGACAAGAAAATAAAAGAAAAGAAAGCATTAAAAAGATGCAACGTACAAAAAGTGAACAAGGAACGAATAAGTAGCGAATAAGTAACAGGGTATCAGTCGAGCGCTGAAACGGGTATATACGCGCTAACAGGGTTATTTCACTTCTAAGAACCCATAGCTAACACCAAAGACAAGAAAAATATTGAAAAGAAATTTTTTAAAAGGTGCAACGGAGAACAAATGTATTACAAGCGAATAAGGAACGAATAAGAAGACAGGGTATCAGGCGAGCGCTAATAGGGTTATTACCTATCTACAAACCCACAGCTAACACCAGAAACAGGAAAAATGCAAGGAAAGAGAGCATTACAAAGATGCAACGTGTAAAAAGTGAATAAGGACCGAATAAGTAGCGGATAAGTAGCAGGGTATCAGCCGAGCGATGAGACGGATAAATACGCGCTAAAAGAGTTATTTCAACTCTAACAACTCATAGCTGACACCAGAGACAAGAAAAAAATTGTAAAGAATTTTTTCTTAAAAGCTGCAACGTATAACACAAACGTATTAAAAGGGAATAAGGAACGAAAAAGTAACAGGGTATCAGCTGGCGAGCGCTGAAACGGGTACAAACGCGCTAATATTCTTATTTCCCATCTACAAACCCACAGCTAACACCAGAAACAAGAAAATAAAAGAAAAAAAAAGCATTAAAAGATGCAACGCACAAAAAAGTGAAAAAGGAACGAATAAGTAGCGAATAAGTAACAGGGTATCAGTCGAGCTCTGAAACGGGTATATACGCGCTAACAGGGTTATTTCACCTCTAAGAATCCATAGGTAACACCAAAGACAAGACAAATATTGAAAAAACAATTTTTTCAAAAGGTGCAACGGATAACAAAAGTATTATAAGGAACGAATAAGAAAACAGGGTATCAGACGAGCGCTAATAGGGTTATTACCCATCTACAAACCCACAGCTAACACCAGAGACAGGAACAATACAAGGAAAAAAAGCATTAAAAAGATGCAACGTGTAAAAAGTGAATAAGGACCGAATAAGTAGCGAATAAGTAACAGAGTATCAGTCGAGCGCTGAAACGGGTACTTATGCGCTTATAGGTTATTTAACTACTAAAAACCCATAGCTAACACCAGAGACAAGAAAAAATTGATAAGAAATGTTTGTTAAAGGTGCAACGAATAATAAACGTATTACAAGCAAATGAGGAACGAATTAGTAACAGGGTCTCAGGCGACCGCTGAAACGGGTACATACGCACTAATAGGGTTGTTTCCCATCTACAAACCCACAGCTAAGACCAGAGAAAAGAAAATAGAAAAAAAGAAAGCATTAAAAAGATGCATCGTTTAAAAGGTGAATAAGGAACGAATAAGTAGCGGATAATGACAGGGTATCAGCCGAGCGATTAAACGGGCAAATACGCGCTAAAAGAGTTATTTCACCTCTAACAACCCATAACTAACAACAGAGACAGGAAAAAAATTGAAAAGATTTTTTTCTTAAAAGGTGCAACGTATAACACAAACGTATTACAAGCAAATAAGGAACGAATAAGTAACAGGGTATCAGCTGGCGAGCGCTGAAACGGGTACATACGCGCTAATAGGGTTATTTTTCATCTACAAACCCACAGCTATCACCAAAGACAAGAAAAGAAAAGAAAAGAAAGCATTAGAAAGATGCAACGTATAAAAAGTGAATAAGGAACGAATAAGTAGCGAATAAGTAACAGGGTATCAGTCGAGCGCTGAAACGGGTACATACGCGCTAATATGGTTATTTCACCTCTAAGATCCAATGGCTAACACCAGAGACAATAAAAACATTGAAAAGAACTTTTGTTTAAAGGTGTAACGGTTAACAAACGTATTACAAGCGAATAAAGAACGAATAAGTAACAGGGTATCATGCGAGCACTCAATAGGATTATTTCCCATCTACAAACCCACAGCTAACACCAGAGACAAGAAAATAAAAGAAAAGAAAGCATTAAAAAGATGCAACGTATAAAAAGTGAATAAGGAACGAATAAGTAGCTGATAAGTAACAGGGTATCAGCTGGCGAGCGCTCAAACGGGTACATACGCGCTAATAGGGTTATTTTTTTATCTACAAACCCACAGCTAACAACAGAGACAAGAAAATAGAAAAATATACAAAGCATTAAAAAGTTGCAACGTATAAAAAGTGAATAAGGAACGAATAAGTAACAGGGTATCAGTCGAGCGCTGAAACGGGTACATACGCGCTAACAGAGTTATTTTCCATATACAAACCCACAGCTAACACCAGAGACAAGTTAATAAAAGAAAAAAAAGCATTAAAAAGATGCAACGTATAAACAGTGAATAAGGAACGAATAAGTGGCGGATAAGTAACAGGGTTTCATCCGAGCGATGAAAGGGGTAAATACGCGCTTATAGGGTTATTTCACCTATGAGAACCGATAGCTAACATCAGAGACAAGAAAAAAATTGATAGAATTTTTTTTTAAAGGTGGAACGAATACCAAACGTATAACAAGCAAATAAAGAACGAATAAGTAACCGGGCATCAGGCGAGCGCTGAAACGGGTACATACGCACTAATAGGGTTATTTCCCATCTACAAACCCACAGCTAACACCAGAGAAAAGAAAATAGAAAAAAAGAAAGCATTAAAAAGATGCAACGTTTAAAAGGTGAATAAGGAACGACGAATAAGTAGCGGATAATAACAGGGTATCAGCCAAGCGATTAAACGGGCAAATACGCGCTAAAAGAGTTATTTCACCTCTAACAACCCATAACTAACAACAGAGACAGGAAAAAAATTGAAAAGATTTTCTTCTTAAAAGGTGCAACGTATAACACAAACGTATTACAAGCGAATAAGGAACGAATAAGTAACAGGGTATCAGCTGGCGAGCGCTGAAACGGGTACATACGCGCTAATAGGGTTATTTCTCATCTACAAACCCACAGCTATCACCAAAGACAAGAAAATAAAAGAAAAGAAAGCATTAGAAAGATGCAACGTATAAAAAGTGAATAAGGAACGAATAAGTAGCGGATAAGTAACAGGGTATCAGTCGAGCGCTGAAACGGGTACATACGCGCTAATAGGGTTATTTCACCTCTAAGATCCAATGGCTAACACCAGAGACAAGAAAAACATTGAAAAGAATTTTTGTTTAAAGGTGCAACGGTTAACAAACGTATAAAAAGAGAATAAGGAACGAATAAGTAACAGGGTATCATGCGAGCACTCAATAGGATTATTTCCCATCTACAAACCCACAGCTAACACCAGAGACAAGAAAATAAAAGAAAAGAAAGCATTAAAAAGATGCAACGTGTGAAAAGTGAATAAAGAACGAATAAGTAGCGGATAAGTAACAGGGTATCAGCCGAGCGATGAAACGGGTAAATACGCGCTAAAAGAGTTATTTCACCTCTAAGAACCCATAGCTAACACCAGAGACAAGAAAACAATTGAAAAGATTTTTTTCTTGAAAGGTGCAACGTAAAACACAAACGTATAACAAGCGAATAAGGAACGAATCAGTAACAGGGTATCAGCTGGCGAGCGCTGAAACGAGTACATACGCGCTAAAAGGGTTATTTTCCATCTACAAATCCACAGCTTACACCAGGGACAAGAAAATATAAGAAAAGAAAGAATTAAAAAGATGCAACGTGTAAAAAGTGAATAAGGAACGAATAAGTAGCTGATAGGTAACAGTGTATCAGTCGAACGCTGAAACGGGTACAGACGCACTAATAGGGTTATTTCCAATCTACAAACCCACAGTTAACACCAGAGACAAGAAAATCAAAGAAAAGAAAGCATTAAAAACATGCAACGTATAAAAAATGAATAAGGAACGAATAAGTTGCGAAAAAGTACCAGGGTATCAGTCGTGCGCCGAAATGGGTACATACGCGCTAATGGGGTTATTTTCCATCTACAAACCCACAACTAACACCAGAGACAAGAAAATAAAAGAAAAGAAATCATTAAAAAGATGAAACATATAAAAAGTTGATAAAGAACGAATAAGTAGCGAATGAGTAACAGGGTATCAGTCGAGCACTGAAACGGGTACATACCCGCTTATAGGTTATTTCACCTCTGAGAATCCATAGCTAACACCAGAAACAAGAAAAAATAGAAAAGCAATGTTTTTTAAAATGTGCAACGGATAACAAACGTATTATAAGCGAATAAGGAACAAATAAGAAACAGGTTCTCAGGCGAGCGCTGAAACGGGTACATACGCACTAATAGGGTTATTTCCCATCTACAAACACACAGCTTACAGCAGAGACAAGAAAATAAAAGAAAAGAAAGAATTAAAAAGATGCAACGTATACAAAGTGAATAAGGAACGAATAAGTAGCTGATAGGTAACAGGGTATCAGTTGAACGCTGAAACGGGTACATACGCACTAATAGGGTTATTTCCCATCTACAAACCCACAGCTAACACCAGAGACAAGACAATAAAAGAAAAGAAAGCATTTAATTTAAAAGATGCAACGTATAAAAAGTGAATAAGGAACAATTAGAAGCGGATAAGTAACAGGGTATCAGCCGAGCGACAAAACGGGTAAATAGGCACTAAAAGAGTTATTTCACCTGTAACAACCCATAGCTAACACCAGAGACAAGAACAAAATTGAAAAGATTTTTTTCTTAAAAAGTGCAACGTATAACACAAACGCATTACAAACGAATAAGGAACGAATAAGTAACAGGGTATCAGGCGACCGCTGAAACGGGTACATACGCGCTAATAGGGTTATTTGTCCTCTACAAACCCACAGCTAACACCAGAGACAAGAAAATAAAAGAAAAGATAGCAGTAAAAAGATGCAACGTATTAAAAGTGAATAAGGAACGAATAAGTAGGTGATAAGTAACAGGGTATCAGCTGGCGAGCACTCAAATGGGTACATACGCGCTAATAGGCTTATTTCCCATTTACAAACTTACAGCTAACAACATAGACAAGAAATAAAAAAAATATAAAGCTTTACAAAGTTGCAACGTATAACAAGTGAATAAGGAACGAATAAGTAGCGAATAAGTAACAGGGTATCAGTCGAGAGCTGAAACGGGTACATACGCGCTTGTAGGGTTATTTCCCATCTACAAACCCACAGCTAACACCAGAGACAAGAAAATAAAAGAAAAGAAAGCATTTAAAGATGCAACGTATAAAAGGTGAATAAGGAACAATTAGTAGCGGATAATTAACAGGGTATCAGCCGAGCGATGCAACGGGTAAATACGCGCTAAAAGAGTTATTTCACCTCTAAGAACCCACACCAGAGACAAGAAAAAAATAGAAAAGAATTTTTTTTTTAAAAGGTGCAACGGATAACAAACGTATTATAAGCGAATAAGGCACAAAAAAGAAACAGGGTCTCAGGCGAGCGCTGAAACGGGTACATACGCACTAATAGGGTTATTTCCCATCTACAAACCCACACCTTACACCAGACCCAAGAAAATAAAAGAAAAGGAAGAATTAAAAAGATGCAACGTATAAAAAGTTAACAAGGAACGAATAAGTAGCTGATAGGTAACAGGGTATCAGTTGAACGCTGAAACGGGTACATACGCACTAATAGGGTTATTTCCCATCTACAAACCCACAGCTAACACAAGAGACAAGAAAAGAAAAGAAAAGAAAGCATTAAAAAGATGCAACGTATAAAAGGTGAATAAGGAACGAATAAGTAGCGAATAAGTAACACGATATTAGCCTAGCGCTAAAACGGGTTAATACGCGCTTAAAGAGTTATTTCACCTGTAAGAACCCATAGCTAACACCAGAGACAAGAAAAAAATTGAAAAGAATTTTTCCTAAAACTTTCAACGTATAACAAACGTATTCCAAGCGAATAAGGAACGAATAAGTAACAGGGTATCAGTCGAGCGCTGAAACGGGTACATACGCACTAATAGGGTTATTTCCCATCTACAAACCCACAGCTTACACCAGACCCAAGAGTATAAAAGAAAAGGAAGAATTAAAAAGATGCAACGTATAAAAAATTAATAAGGAACGAATAAGTAGCTGATAGGTAACAGGGTATCAGTTGAACGCTGAAACGGGTACATACGCACTAATAGGGTTATTTCCCATCTAAAAACCCACAGCTAACACAAGAGACAAGAAAAGAAAAGAAAAGAAAGCATTAAAAAGATGCAACGTATAAAAGGTGAATAAGGAACGAATAAGTAGCGAATAAGTAACAGGATATTAGCCTAGCGCTAAAACGGGTTAATACGCGCTTAAAGAGTTATTTCACCTGTAAGAACCCATAGCTAACACCAGAGACAAGAAAAAAATTGAAAAGAATTTTTCCTAAAACGTTCAACGTATAACAAACGTATTCCAAGCGAATAAGGAACGAATAAGTAACAGGGTATCAGTCGAGCGCTGAAACGGGTACATACGCACTAATAGGGTTATTTCCCATCTACAAACCCACAGCTTACACCAGACCCAAGAGTATAAAAGAAAAGGAAGAATTAAAAAGATGCAACGTATAAAAAATTAATAAGGCACGAATAAGTAGCTGATAGGTAACAGGTTATCAGTTGAACGCTGAAACGGGTACATACGCACTAATAGGGTTATTTCCCATCTAAAAACCCACAGCTAACACAAGAGACAAGAAAAGAAAAGAAAAGAAAGCATTAAAAAGATACAACGTATAAAAGGTGAATAAGGAACGAATAAGTAGCGAATAAGTAACAGGATATTAGCCTAGCGCTAAAACGGGTTAATACGCGCTTAAAGAGTTATTTCACCTGTAAGAACCCATAGCTAACACCAGAGACAAGAAAAAAATTGAAAAGAATTTTTCCTAAAACATTCAACGTATAACAAACGTATTATAAGCGAATAAGCAACGAATAAGTAACAGGGTATCAGTCGAGCGCTGAAACGGGTACATACGCGCTAATAGGGTTGTTTCCTATCTACAAATCAACATCTAACACCAGAGACAAGAAAATCAAAGAAAAGAAAGCATTAAAAAGATGCAACGTATAAAAAATGAATAAGGAACGAATAAGTAGCGAAAAGGTAACAGGGTATCAGTCGAGTGCTGAAACGGGTACATACGTGCTAATAGGGTTATTTCACCTCTAAGAACCCATAGCTAACACCAGAGACAAGAAAAAAATTGAAAAGAAATTTTTTTTAAAAGGTGCAACGAATAACAAACGTATTACAAGCGAATAAGGGACAAATAAGAAACAGGTCTCAGGCAAGCGCTGAAACGGATACATACACACTAATAGGGTTATTTCCCATCTACAAACCCACAGCTTACACCAGAGACAAGAAAATAAAAAAAAAGAAAGAATTAAAAAGATGCAACGTATAAAAAGTGAATAAGGAACGAATAAGTAGCTGATACGTTAAAGGGTATCAGTCGAACGCTGTAACGGTTACATACGCACTAATAGGGTTATTTCCCATCTACAAACCCACAGCTAACACCAGAGACAAGAAAAGAAAAGAAAAGAAAGCATTAAAAAGATGCAACGTATAAAAGGTTGATAAAGAACGAATAAGTAGCGAATGAGTAACAGGGTTTCAGTCAAGCACTTAAACGGGTACATACCCGCTTATAGGTTATTTCACCTCTAAGAACCCATAGCTAACACCAGAGACAAGAAAAAAATAGAAAAGAATTTTTTTTTAAAAGGTGCAACGGATAACAAACGTATTATAAGCGATTAAGGAACAAATAAGAAACAGGGTCTCAGGCGAGCGCTGAAACGGGTACATACGCACTAATAGGGTTATTTCCCATCTACAAACCCACAGTTTATACCAGAGACAAGAAAATAAAAAAAAAGAAAGAATTAAAAAGATGCAACGTATAAAAAGTGAATAAGGAACGAATAAGTAGCTGATAGGTAACAGGGTATCAGTTGAACGCTAAAACGGGTACATACGCACTAAAAGGGTTATTTCCCATCTACAAACCCACAGCTAACACCAGAGTAAGAAAAAAGAAAAGAAAAGAAAGCATTAAAAAGATGAAACGTATAAAAAGTAGCGAATAAGTAACAGGGTATTAGCCTAGCGCTGAAACGGGTAAATACGCACTAAAAGAGTTATTTCACCTGTAAGAACCCATAGCTAACACCAGAAACAAGAAAAAAATTGAACAGAATTTTTTTTTAAAGGGTGCAAAGTATATAACAAACGTTTTATAAGCGAATAAGGAACGAATAAGTAACAGGGTATCAGGTGAGCGCTGAAACGGGTACATACGCACTAATAGGGTTATTTCCCATCTACAAACCCATAGCTAACACCAGAGACAAGAAAATAAAAGAAAAGAAAGCATTACAAAGATGTAACGTATAAAAAGTGAATAAGGAACGAATAAGTAGCGAAAAGGTAGCAGGGTATCAGCCGAGCACTGAAACGGGTAAATATGCGCTAAAAAAAGTTCTTTCACCTCTAACAACCTATAACTAACACCAGCGACAAGAAACGTTTTTTTTTGTTTGTTTAAAAGTTGCAACGTATACAAAACGTATTACAAGAGAATAAGGAACGAATAAGTAGCAGGGTATCAGCTGGCGAGCGCTGAAACGGGTACATAGTCTTAGATGCATGATATTTTTTTTGAACTAGCTGTCAGTAACTGCGAGTACTCTTAGATCTGTACTTAGTGCCTTTTTGTTGTTGGGATGTACAAGTACCCGGCCACGTCCGCTCTGTTTTTTTTGTTAGATGTATTTCTATTTGTATCCATTTGATGAGTTAAGCCTTTTTCAACTGATTTTGATAGTTCATTCTTATGTTGTACTGTTACACCACTGTCCCTGGTTAAAGGGGGGGGTCCCGCTAACATGTTAAATCCCACCACATTCTGTATGTATGTGCATGTCCCAAGTCAGGAGCCTGTAATTCAGTGGTTGTAGTTTGTTGCTGTGTTACATATTTGTTTTCCGTTAATTTTTTTGTACAATTAATTGGGCCGTTGGTTTTCTCGTTTGAATTGTTTACATTTGTCATTTCGGGGCCTTTTATAGCTGACTACGCGGTATGGGCTTTGCTCATTGTTGAAGGCCGTACGGTGACCTATAGTTGTTAATTTCTGTGTCATTTGGTCTCTTGTGAAGAGTTTTCTAAATGGCATTTATATATATAAAAAAAGAAAATGTGGCCAATGAGACAACTCTCCACCAGAGACCAAATGACCTAGAACAACTATAGGTCACCGTACGGCGGCCTTCAACAATGAGCAAAATCGATACTGCATAGTCAGCTATAAAAGGTCCCGAAATAAAAATGCAAAACAATTCAAACGAGAAAAATAACGGTCTGAATTATGTAAAAGAAAACAATGAACGAAATACAAATAGTATATGCAGCAACAAACGACAACCACTATATTACAGCCCCTTACTTGGGACAGGCATATACAGAATATGGCTGAGTTAAACATGTAAGCACGCGCTCAATCCTCCCATATCCTGGGACATTTGTGAAACAGTGCCACATATAAACAAACCAAAAAATATAGTATACATGGCCTACCTTATAATGTGGACAGGTGAGGTCTGACTTTTCAGTGATATATGCATGCAAAATGTTAACTGTATATGATTTTTGTTTTGTAACAACTTCACGTCCGTCTTAGTTCTGGTATATGTATCATATGACATTGCATTTATTATAATAAGGTTTATAATTAAAAAAATGCATTTTCTTTTTAAGTTAATGATGTTGTGACAGTGAATTGGTAACATAAAGTAAATCTACACCTTACACTTTACATTTAACCCTATAACAATCTGAAAGTTGCTAATCCTGAAAATATGTTTCGAAGCTCTATGTTATGGTGATCGTAATATCGTTATTTCGATTTATATGAATGGTTGAAACAATTGTCTATTTCTTATCTTAAAATTTTTGAAAGATTTAGATTTCACGGGGTACAACATAGAAAGTTCGTTTACATAACATGCGTGTACGACAAAATTAATAAGAGGAATCAAATCAGCAGTTCTATGTGAAGTTATGTCTATGAGGCATGAAATGTAGGTCATACTTTTCTCTGGATCCCGCTTGACTGAATTATAATGTAACAAATTCTGATATCTTTCCTAGAAAATTATCATTGTTTATGTAGAAACCATGAACAGTTTATACATGTAAGTAATTATTACGATTTTCATCTGAGAGATTTTTTTATTTTTGGTGTTTAACGCCACTTTTATCACTCTTGGTGATATCATGGTGCCAGTTTTTATCGATTGAGGAAGCCGGAGTGCCCTGAGAGAACCAACTACCTTCGGTTGGAAACTGGCAATCCTAGTCAATCAAGATCTGAGTCGAACACATTTGCCACGTGCAGTGCTCGAACTCACAACCCCAGTGTCGGCAGGCTATTTAAAAAATATATTTATAATCTCATAATATAAGAAACAAATGTGCACAAACTATTTCGAACCATATTTTCCTTTGGGATATTTTCACATTGGATTTATAACTATGATTTATGAACAAAATGGAAAAAAAACAGGAAATTTTTTTGTACAAATCATGGTGATATAATTTTTTAATATTGATTATTTCGATTAAGAATATATGTTGACGTATGTTTTAATGAATCTTTTGTAGGGTACAAATTTGTAATTGTTGGAAATCTTCATGAACAAAAATGCGAAAGTACAAGATACCAACCATTTGGATTCTCAACAAAAGGTAGTCCAACTTGTATTTTTGAAAAGACATATTGCAGTGAGGAAGGACAGATTATATTCAGTAATGGGTCCACAAATTCCGATAGACGATGTCGTTGCGATTATACTCGAGGTTACAACTTCATTACCAAACCGAATCATAACTGTTATTGTGTTCCGTCAATGGAGGATTGTTCATGTTACCAGAAACCGTGTACACCAGGATTCATTCTAAGTCCAGGTAAGTGGTTGGTAGCGATGCTATATATCTGAAATACCTTTTCGTCATGTATTGTTTACTGACAGAAATGTTCAAAATAAGATAATTTCTTAGAAAAGAATTTTACATCAGAATGAGTGTCATTGGATATATGAATACGAAAACGGTGCATGTAATTTAAGAAAACAAATGTTGTGTCTAGAATTTGACTACTAGTATGTGAAAATAGTAGCCAAGGTTGAAAACATAATGTATGTTCCTAAGTAATTTACCTACTTCAGGTTAACATAGTATTACAATGAAGCAATTCTCTCTGTATAACAGATATAAAGCAAACCCAGTAACAAGTAGTAGTTTTTCGGACAATAAGAGGTAATTTCAGCATTTTTTTTTTTTTACTTCATACAAGTAAATTGAAATATTTCAAGTACTAAATTATAATTGTTTAATTTATTTAAGCGTTTTGTTATTACTTAAGTTTAGTAAAATAACAGTTTAGTAATTGTAGTAATTCCTTAAGCATAGTAAGTGATATTCAGTAATAGTAAGTAATTGTAAAAAATGCATAGTATATAGTTATATATTTACTTAAATAAGTAAAGAAAAAAAGTATTTTTTTAAAGTGCTGACAGCAGCAATCTAGGCAAGGCACGAATTATTTATTAAACTGATTGTCAGTTTTAAGAGGAATTCTAAAACAATTTTACATGACTTCTAAAGAATAATCTCAAATCCATTATTTGAACAATTGCATGGAACAGAAGAAACTTTAGATTCCTACATTCTTTAAAGTGGACTCTATTTCTGAGCATCCCTTCAGGTATAGGTATCGACAGATTGTAGTACCGTGAAAGTACATATGTGTTATATTTAGTATGGTTTTAATTAACTGATAACAAAATCAATATGTATACCAATAAAACAAATATTCAAAGATTTAATTACAGTGCGCTGAATAGTTTACCTTTTAGAATAAGTTACATACATATTTGTGTACATTAAATAATCTTGTACATTGTACAATACCAGGAACACAGACGATACAAATACTAGAAAAGAAAACGAAAGATGAGATTACGCCAGGTCTCCAGCCTCGTGGTTAAGGGAAGGAGTTCATTCACCACCGGAATTCATACTCGTCAAAACCGTAAATTTACTAAGCGATCATGGGCCCGTGTGACACTTTATGAACTTTCGAACAATTGAGCATTTGAGCTTTTAAATTTGTATTTACGTAATAAATTATTATTTTATTTTAAAATCGATTTTATTATACAACCTCCAAGACACATATGTTGTTGTCTCCTCGGAAATAACTCCCGAACAACATCGTTCTTGGTTGTTAATCACATTACATAAACTGCTTGATACAGGAATTAGGTATTGACAATTTAGGAAATTATTGTTGTCTGATGTGTTGTACACAAAATGCAAAACCATCACCACCCTTTATTCCGATATTTTATATATTTGTTCTTCCAAATTAATTATGATCTTAACAGAAGTTATATAGAATGTAAACATGTTCAGTTACGCTATTTGTATTTTACAGACTACAAATGCATCAATCTAACCCGCTGGAATTCCCAGTTCACGTGTGAACTGATTCTGCCATATCAGTGAGTTGTCTTAAATACATATACTATCACATTTTATTAAACAATACATTATAAATTGTCCGTTAAATACCGTATGTCTGAGAAATGGTCATTAATACAGGAACACCGGTTAATACAGAATTTTACTGGTCTAAATACAAGTTTTTTACTTCCGGTTTTTGGCTCAAAAAGTTGTCATAAAATGGATGTGTGTATTACTCGAAATATTGGATTTCAACAAGTTTTATGTAATTGTTGTTATTTTTTCATATGTTATAATACTTTTTTTTCTGGAGGATATACAATTATGGACCGTTAAAGGTTAAATATTGTCAACCGGTAAAGCCTATTTCTCTGAGGCACATGTCCTACTGTAGAAACAAATTGTCAAATGACTTCTGTCATAGATTTATTTTGTGTCTCAAAATGTCTCATATGTACAAAAAAAGGAAGAATTTTTCTGTAAAATATTGATGACCCTGAAAGCTCGTTTGTAAAAGCTAATATCCTTGGCACCAGATGGATATCAAATACTGGTTTCGTCTGTCATACTAAGAATTCTAACTTGGACCGTGCCATTTTGTTTACAAATATCAGTGACGTTTGTAGTAATTGTTGCCTATACTTATGACAAAAATAGTTTCTTGATTATATGGCAAAATCCTAGATCCTAGGTGTTTTATTAATAGGATTTGCATCACTTGATTTGGTCCTTTTGGTTAAATTTCTTCCCTAGTTGAAAACTGAAAAATATAGATTATATCAAATTTGCAGATTATGGAGTCTTTGATCGTTTTTGATAAAATATAATGTCTTTGAAATACATATGTAGTGTAAATCTGAGGAATAACGCGGAAACCCAGTTGAAAATAAACAAAAGAAATGGAACTCTTTGTTAGAGAAGGTAAAACAGGCGAAGTTGGAAAATTTGAATTGTTTACATCTGCTTCTATGGGCTTCAAAAGTTGAATGAAAGTGCCTATTTTAGGGTTTTTTTTTGTATCTTATGTATGTTTTTACTTAAATTATTGAATTGAGCTTCGAGATATTTGTAAACTTTTAAATTATAGACAAATTTTCACCAACCAGTCGATTGTGGAAGGTGCAAATTCATGCGGATCTTTTTTGTGCATAAGCATAAATTCCGCCGAAAAAAATCCAAAGAAAGATAATAGATTTATCTTTTTAAAGCATCAATTTGCATCTCTGCCCCCGGTGACAGTTTGTTTTGGAAAACAACTCCAAAATAGAAAGTCGAGTATACCTTTTTAGGTTCACGCGTGTTTGAGATGACTATTTTGTCTTGAAAACGTAGAAAGAATGATATCAATAGGTTAAATAATTTTTGCTGACTTGAACAGGGACAGTTCTGTGAAATTGAGTTGTTTATTACACTTTAGATTTTTGGTGTAATATTCTATTCTTCTGATGACCGCCTTGGAGATCTCGTGGTAGTGTGTTTTCTTCGAGTGCAGGAGATCGTGGGTTCGAACCCCGGCCGGGTCAAACCAAAGACATCAACATTTGTATTTGCTGTTCCTTCTCTAGGCAAGTTGCATTAAGGAGTAAAAACAAAGACTGGTACTTCAGGTAGGTGACACGTCTTACCTTGTGAACTAGCACGTT